GCCTGGGTTAAGTCCTACCCTGTCATTTCTAGATAAACAAACAAACAAACAAACAAACAAAACATCCGACTTGCACCAGTCACTTAGCCTTAACTTCTCTGAGACCCAATTTCCTCATTTGTGAAACAGGGACAATATTAACAACTGAAACTTTTATTTTTAAACTATAATTTATGGAGTGCCTACTATATGCTGGTAGAAAGAAGAAAGGAAGAAAGAAAGAAAGAAAGAAAGAAAGAAAGAAAGAAAGAAAGAAAGAAACTTTACACATGAAAATAGTTAGCTCTTACACCCAGTCTGTGAAGCAGATATTTTTATCCTCATTTTAGAGTTAAGGAAATAGGTTCAGAGAAGTGATTTTTAAAATGGAAGTAAATAGCCAACATTTATGTAGTGTTTACTATGATGTAGTCACTGTTCTGAGAACTTGAATAACAACAACGCAAATGATAACACCTCTGTGAAGTACGTATATTATTATCATTTTATACCTGAGGAAACTGAGGCATGGAGAGATGAAATAATTAGTCTGAAATTAGATGGCTGGTGAATTTGAAGGCAGGTAGCCCAGCTCTTAATCATTATGTTACAAATCAGACAAGTCTCCTTTTTAATGCCCTTCCTTGTGTTTCTCACTGCAGTGAAAATAAAACCCAACTTCCTTTCTCTGGCATGCAAGGCCATACGTGACCTGGTTCTGGCACCATCTGACCACATTTATCACTCTCCCCCTCGCTCACTCTGCCTCAGACGCACCAGCTCCTTGTGGGTCCTCAGCTGTGCAGAGCCCACTCCTGCCTCAGGGCCTTTGCACATGTTGTTCCTTCCACCTGGAAGGAGGATTATCCCCCAGACCCTTGTAGGCCTCATTCCCTCACCATACCCAAGTCTCTGCTCAAATGTCATCCCCTCACAGAGACATTCTTACCTATCGACTTCCCTTTGACCTTTCTTAATTTTTCTTCACAACACTCAGAATTCTCTGGAACTATGCATTTGTTTGCCTGTTTGTCTCTTTCACCAGCCTGTGAGCACAGACTTGGTCGTCGTGTCCACTGCTAGATATCCAGTGCTCGGGCCCGGGACCTACCATGTGTTAGTCACCTAATATATAGTTGCCGGATAATTAAGTACATAAATGAACAGATATCCAAGGTCACCCAATTGTGTGGCAGAGCCAGGACACAAACTGGGTTGTCTGATCCCAGAGCCTATGCCCTTCACCACTGGGCTGTGCTGGGCTGACTCCAGGGGACATCGGGAGGGTCTGTTGGTATAGTGAGTGCAAAACCACTTTGAAAATTGCTAAGTGCTTGAAAATAAAAGATTATTATTATTGTTCAGTTTACTGTTTGCTCATCTGCCAAATGGGGATGAGAATACTCTGACCCGCCGGCTTTAAGGGAATGGTTTGTGGAGTGCCGAGGAGATCATGGGTGGGTGAATATGTACGAGAGCTAAAGGCTCTGTGTGGTAGAAGCGACTAAAGATTATTTCCATGCCGGTGGCTTCCCAAGACTCCCATCCTCTACCTCGAGTTTGACATTAATATTGCTGACAGGAGAGGGGGAGGTAAGGGGACATGGGGGACCGAGGGACTCTGCGTCCCAGTAATTAAACATGTTGGGACTGAAGCGCTGCCAGCAGCAGCATCTGGTTGCAATTACCAGAGGGGACCGAAGTGATTAGTCACCTTTATAGTGAGAGCCAGGCCGGTCTCCTGGGCTCCTCCCTGGAGAGGGCCTTCTAAGTAAGCTCCGAGTCCCCTTTCCCTGCTCGCACCCCACTCTGGGGTCCCCTGGTCCTCAAACAATAGCCCCTGATCAGAGTCCTCCATGTCCCCAAGCCTCAGCTCATCGAAGGAGACCTTGACTGAAAGCCAAGAACACCGTAACTGCACCACCCCCCACCCTTTTACTTCTTCTTGTGTTTCTAGAGGCCAGGTTGGGATTCTTCGGTAAAAAAATGTGTCAAATTGGGAACTAAGCTCAAAAGGTAATTTTACCTTTCTGAACGTCAGCTTCTTTATCTGTGAGCTGTGGGACTATCTATACCTCCATCTTAGGGTGGCTGTGAAGATAAATAAGATAAAAATGCAATGGGATATCGAGGCCCACGTCTAGTTTACTAGACTACGTGCTCGGTAAATAGTAGCTGTTATTAATGTTTTCCAGGTGCGAGGCTAATCACTTTTTATGATTCATTTCATTGAATCCCCATAAAAACCCTGTGAGTAGGTACTGTCACGGTCCTTGTTCAGAGTTTCCGAGAGGCGCAGGGGTTTCCAAAGATCACACAGTGCGCTATACCATATGGCAGAACCGGAATTCAAAACCGGGTCTGCTTGTCTCCAAAGCTCTTGCTCTTTGTCAAACCACGTGCAGGGTTGTTTCATTCGTTCATCCCTTCATTTGTTCACTCAGTCGACCTTGCAAAGTGCCTAGTAGGTGGTAAGACAGAATCTTTCCCTTCAAGAAACTCAGAGTCCAGCAGGGAAGGCATGAGATGTCCACGAATAACCACATCTTAAAGCAGAAAATTATGGTTTTCATATATAAGGCCAGTTAGAGATTTATTCATCCATATAACCCATACTGAGAGTTTGCTATGTGCTGGGCCTTTTGCCCAGCACTGGGAATAATTGAAAGATAAATACAGTACAGTCTAGTCATAATCAAATGAGGGAGACAGATATGTAAATAAATTATTACAGTTCTAAGGAATTGAGTTATGATTTTAAAAAACATGAAAAAGGTATGCAGAGTAGAAGAAACGAACTGTGTTTGAGGCAAGGGGCACGGGCAGAGCTGCACAATCTTTGAGCTACCAAAGCGGAAAGGGGCACAGAAAATGTGCGGTAGCAATTCAGGAGTGTGTTTCCTGATAGATGAGGGAAGGCTTCCTGGAGGAGAGGGCACGTGAGTAGGCACTTTTCATTGGGTAGGTTTGAGAGAGAGAAAGGGTTGGAACAGAGATATCCTAAAGGTGAGGAAGCTAGTTATATGGGAATTATAGTGGGACAGGTGGTGAGGAGGACGGAGACAGTGAGACAGCGGGGACAGAGAGGAGGAGGAACGCCAGAGGTGATGCGTTAGTGGGGACCATTCAAAAGGGAAGCCCAGTGTTGTGAATCTGGGCAACTGGAGGGATGGTGATAAATTCGGGTCTTCCTCAAAGCTTTGCCAAAGAGTGGCTGGTGGTGCATTGGTCCTTGGAGATGGGGAGACGGAGTTCTACTGGGTTTCCGACCTAGGAGCGCCCAGTGAAGCCTGGAATGGCCAGGTGATGCTGCTGTGCTCTGAAGATCAGCAAGGATCTGGGAGCGTCACCATGAAAGGGCTGGTCAGGCACCTGGATACCCCCAGCTGTGAATTTCATCTCTTTCATTCATCAAACACTTACTGAGCTTCTACTGTGAGCCAGCTTGTGCTGGAAAACCAATCTGGTGACCTTAGAGCACAAACAGATCTTTATTAGCAGGCTCAAAGAATCTCAGACTAAGAAGGAAGCCTGCCTGACTGCTGCTTCTACCCTGTTGCTATACCTCTTAGTGTGACAAGTGTTGTAATGGAATGTGCAAGAAGAGGTCATTGGCTCTGTCTGGGCATCAGGGAAGGCTTCCCAGAGGAGGTGAATTTTCAGGACGAAGCTCTCAGGGTAATGAGAAATTTCCTTCAGTTGTGGGAGTGAAAGGAGGGTATTCCTGGTGAAGGGAACAACTTTCCTCCATGAGTCCAGCAGGAATTCAGCCTTCTCGAGCTATCAGAAAAACATGATGTGGGAAGTCATTTTTCCAGCCTCCTGCAGGGGCCGCTGCTGCCCCAGGCTGGGCCTGCCACCTCTGAACTCAACCAGTCTTTCCAACAAAACCCAGAGTCTGTGTTTCCTGGGGTAGTAGGGAGGTACGCCCTGGACCAACCTCCACCCGAGGAGTGGGCTCCAGGGTGGCAGTGCCCTCCAATGCCTGCAGAAACCATCTGAATTTAGTCAGTGGCATTTGGGGGAAGGGTGTAGTGGGTACTGATATTTTTCTGTCTCTGGGTCACCACAAGTTTATTAAAATAAAAGAAACTGTGGGTAAATGCTGCCATCTGTGCTGCCCCCCCCCCCCACAACAACAAATCAGGCCCCAGACTAGACGCAGGGGTTGAAACTGCTTTAAAAACACCCCAAGGAGTTAGCTGAAAACTCACACTCCCCATGCTTCTGGGGCTTAAGATCTTGAGCTCATTCCTCAGCATCTCTCCTCAGGAGGGTGGGGTGGGCTGCCCCCTGAGGTGGAGGTGAAGACCCCTGAGTCTGCTCCATGGACCGAGGGGCCCCCTAAGCCTAGAGTCACGCTTCGGGGCTCCGTGCCAAGAGCCCCCGTGAGCCATGGCCTCGAAAGGGCAGCGGTGATTTTTTTTCACATAAATATATCGCACTTAAATGAGTTTAGACAGCATGACATCAGAGAGTAATTAAATTGGTTTGGGTTGAAATTCCGTTTCCAATTCCTGAGTTCAGGTTTGTAAAAGATTTTTCTGAGCACCTGCAGGCGAGTGTGTGTGTGTGTGTGTGTGTGTGTGTGAAGTATTTTCACTGGAAAGGATTCAAAACTTAAAAAAAAAAAAAGCTGGAGCACACAGGCAGCATTACGCCATTCTTCCTTCTTGGAAAAATCCCTCAGCCTTATACAAGCCTCCTTCAAGCCCTCAGTCAGTTGTGCAGGAGAAAGGGGGCGGTCGGCTTTCTCCTTTCAAGAACGAGTTATTTTCAGCTGCTGACTGGAGACGGTGCACGTCTGGATACGAGAGCATTTCCACTATGGGACTGGATACAAACACACACCCGGCAGACTTAAAGAGTCTCAGACTGAGGAGAAAGCCTTTCCTTCTGCTGCTACTGCTGCTGCCGCTGCTTTTGAGGGTCCACTCCTTTCATGGTTTTTCCTGCCAAACCAGAGGCACCTCCGCTGCTGCCGCCGTTCTCTCTGGTGTCATTCAGCGGCTGGCCAGAGGATGAGACTCTCCAAACCCCTCACTTTCCTGCTTTGGCACCTGGCTTGGCTGGACCTGGAATTTATCTGCACTGTGTTGGGGGCTCCTGACTTGGGTCAGAGACCCCAGGGGGCCAGGCCAGGATTGGCCAAAGCAGAAGCCAAAGAGAGGCCCCCTCTGGCCCGGAACGTGTTCAGGCCAGGGGGTCACAGCTATGGTGGGGGAGCCACCAATGCCAGGGCAAAGGGGGGCACTGGGCAGGCAGGAGGCCTGACACAGCCCAAGAAGGATGAACCCAAAAAGCTGCCCCCCAGATCGGGTGGCCCTGAACCCAAGCCAGGACACCCTCCCCAGACAAGGCAGGCTGCAACTCGGACTGTGACCCCCAAAGGACAGCTTCCTGGGGGCAAGGCACCCCCAAAGGCAGGTGCTGTCCCCAGCCCCTTCCTGCTGAAGAAGGCCAGGGAGCCTGGGGCCCCTCGAGAGCCCAAGGAGACGTTCCGCCCGCCCCCCATCACGCCCCACGAGTACATGCTCTCGCTGTACAGGACGCTGTCCGATGCTGACAGAAAGGGAGGAAACAGCAGCGTGAAGTTGGAGGCCGGCCTGGCCAACACCATCACCAGCTTTATTGACAAAGGGCAAGGTGAGGGGGCGGGGTGGCAGGGGTACGGCTCAGGGGGAGGGGCATCTGCATGCGTGGAGGGGCCTTTCCGAGCCCTGACACTGCACTGGTGGGAGACTGTGTGTGCCTGGGGTGGTGTCCGGGACTATCCCACACATGCCAGGTCCCAGGGTGCTGGCGTGTCAGACTGGAGGCACCTGGGGTCACCAAGTCCAGCTCTTGCAAGGTGCAGAGAGGATGACTAAAGCCCAGAGAGGAGACAAGAGCTGCCAGGTGGTGGCAGAGTTGGGGACCAGCCTTTAAGACTCTTGATCACGGAGCCATGCTCTGTTCCTATGTGGACTGGCCAAACTTTCTAGGCTCCAGCGGTTTGTAGGTTTTCTCAGATGGCAGAGAGAGAAATTAATCTCTAGCCACCCATCATCCTGCAACTCTACCCTCAGGGGAGGGAGCAGAGGAGGCAGGATAGGGGGAGACAGTAAGTGAGGCACCTGGAGTCATGGAATGACATTGAGATATGTGGGGTTTGGGGGTGGACAACAGACCTAGGGTTTAACAGTGCGACCTTGGGAAAGCTCCTCCTCCCTTCAGGGTCAGTTTCCCCACCTGTACAGCTATATGGGGGCTGGACTGGGTGATTTCTGAGAGCCCTTCAAATATGAAACTTTGTGTCCTGTCCCAAACACAGGTCATTTTTATCATTAACCCCAGAGAATAAGGGCTCCCCTCGTTCCTCTCTCTGTCTACCTGGTGTTGCTGTCTCGGCCTTTCCTCCCAGCAAGGCTCTTCCCCTCTCGGGGCCTCAGTTTCTCCCTAAGTGTGACTGCTGGGGTGGATTGCAGCTCTGGTTCTCTGAGTCTCAGGACTTCGGCTGGCAGGGTGGGGGAGGGGTCAGAGAGTGGGAGAGGCTCCTCATTAGAGCTGGCCTGTGGGGGAATGACAGAAGGCGGGGGAGGCACAGAGGCAGCAGGTCTGGCTGAGGTGGGGGAGGTGGCCTGGCTGCCTGCCCAGTCAGGGAAAGCTGTGACCCCTTGGGGGCTCATAAAGTAAGTCCTTGTGCCCCCCAGCACTAAGGGAGCTTGGAGAGGGGGAGATGGGGAGTTTAAAGGCCTAATTAGTCACCTTCTAGAGCTATATATGAATGCTTCCCAATGGCAAATTGGTATTTGGGAAAGAGGGCATGCGGATTGGACAGACTACTGAGCTTCTTTTACATACGCACAGCCCTATATTTGTGTATACTTTCTGAATCACACGCATGTACCTATGTGCACACATGCTGTCTTACCTATATGTATACATGGAATCTTCTCACACAGACCCACACACACCACATACACTTTACATTTTGACACAAGCCCAGTCATTCAGGCACATGACATCATTTATTTATGCCACTTTCTCACTCACATGTGAACCCAGTCATGCACACAAACTTTCATACGCAGCCCCCCCCCCAACATCCGGCAGGTGAGACACATGCACAGCAAAATCATTAGACTGGGAAGCAGGGAGATTGGATTGCAGAGCGGCTTGTCATGAACTCACTGTGTGACTGTAGTCGAGTCACGCCCCCTCTCTGTGCCTCAGCTGTGAAAAGAGAACCCCGAGATTTTCTTTAAGGTGCAGTGGAAGCAGCTTCGGATTGGGTATGCCAAGTTCTAGGCCAGGGTTTCAACTCTGCTTTCTCTGAGCTGGGTGACTTGGAGCGAGTCACCTAAGTTCTCGGAACCTCTGGTTCCCGCTCTGGGAGAACAGGAGTAATTACAATGACCAACCCTGCCTACTTCACCAATGAGGTACCACATTCTATCACAGATAGGAAAGAGGTAGGTAGAAAGCCCTTCTAAAGCCAGTGTATCTCTCATATGTGTAGTGATGGACACAAACACCTAGAATCACTCCAGTCACCCCCAGCCACATCTACAGATAAACAACCGTACTCGGTTGGCTGTGTAGGACAAGGCTGTCAGCAGTTTGGATCTTGGCTTTTCTCAGAGTGGGGAAGAGGTTAAAGAAAGCTCTCTGGAGGGGGCGAGAGCTGTAGCCCTCCCCCAAGGCCTCGAGGTGACTGGCTTTCTTGACGAGGTTGCGGGGAATGACTTCTGGGTGTTCTCTCTAGATGACCGAGGCCCTGCGGTCAGGAAGCAGAGGTACGTGTTTGACATCAGTGCCCTGGAGAAGGATGGGCTGCTAGGGGCCGAGCTGCGGATCTTGCGGAAGAAGCCCTCGGACACAGCCAAGCCAGTGGCCCCCAGTAGCGGGCGGGCTGCCCAGCTGAAGCTGTCCAGCTGCCCCAGCGGCCGGCAGCCGGCAGCCTTGCTGGATGTGCGCTCCGTGCCAGGCCTGGACGGATCTGGCTGGGAGGTGTTTGACATCTGGAAGCTCTTCCGAAACTTTAAGAACTCGGCCCAGCTGTGCCTGGAGCTGGAGGCCTGGGAACGGGGCCGGGCTGTGGACCTCCGCGGCCTGGGCTTTGACCGGGCTGCCCGTCAGGTTCACGAGAAGGCCCTGTTCCTGGTGTTTGGCCGCACCAAGAAGCGGGACCTGTTCTTTAACGAGATTAAGGCGCGCTCTGGCCAGGACGATAAGACCGTGTACGAGTACCTGTTCAGCCAGCGGCGAAAACGGAGGGCTCCACTGGCCACCCGCCAGGGCAAGCGGCCCAGCAAGAACCCCAAGGCCCGCTGCAGCCGAAAGGCGCTGCATGTCAATTTCAAGGACATGGGCTGGGACGACTGGATCATCGCACCCCTGGAGTACGAGGCCTTCCACTGCGAGGGACTATGTGAGTTCCCCTTGCGCTCTCACCTGGAGCCCACGAACCACGCAGTCATCCAGACCCTGATGAACTCCATGGACCCGGAGTCCACGCCGCCTACCTGCTGTGTGCCCACGCGCCTGAGTCCCATCAGCATCCTCTTCATTGACTCCGCCAACAACGTGGTCTATAAGCAGTATGAGGACATGGTGGTGGAGTCTTGTGGCTGCAGGTAGCAGCTCTGGCCCTGTCTTCCTGGTGGTGCATCCCCAAGACGCTGTGCACAGGGGCCCCTCCTCGAGGTTTGTGGGATCACACAGGGGTCAGGAAGCAGCAGCCGGGAACATCTACACATCCTGCTCGAAAGGGGATTCCAACAGCCTTGCTCACTCTGCAAGTGGGACAAGGGCTGAAAGGTCCTTTCTATCTGCAAGTCCCTCTGTCTAAGGATTTCTGCCCTTCTGCTGCTCTGACTGGCAGGGACAGGCCCAGGGAGACAGACTCTGAATGGGACTGAGACCCAACAGACCTGGTTTTCCAGTGCAGCTCAGCCGAGGTCCTCTCCTTTCCTGGGCCTCCTTGGACTCTGGACTCTCCAGGGAGGGCTCCTCTCGGGAGAGCCTCGGGTGCTGCATCCTCCTTGAATCACCACGGTGCCTGGTGACTTTCTGCCCCTGGGGTAGACGAGATGCTATTGGGCAGGGGTGGGAAAAGAGGGGGAGAGGGCTTGGGCAGGGGTGAGGAATGTGGGGCTGTTAGACTGTTAGATTAAAATGTACATTGATGAGATAAAAAGCAAAACTGTGCCTAAAACTGTGGCAGATTTCTTGTTCACTCCAGGGGACACAGTGACCCCCCAAAGAATGACTGACCCAGGGAGGGGAGGTGGGTTGCCTCACGCATAAACCGGTGTCCAGGGCCCAGTCCCCGCTCCCAGTCCTGGAAACTGAAGTAGGGCCAGGGCTACCTCTAACCTCATTCCCACTCCTTCCAAAAGCCCATTGGTCTGGAGCTCCGTCTGCTCCGCTGGGGCCTGCCAACAGAGTTAGGTTTTCTTTTTGGCACTTCTTAGTCGAGCTGGTTGTCTCTGAAATGGATCCCTAAATGGGAGGGAAGTTGGGGATTTCATTTCCTCTAAAATCATCCCACTTCATTCACTAGTATCTGCTGCCTCCCCACCCCACCCCCACCACATACTCATAAAATGAACTGACTACCATTTAAAGGATCCTCTACCTCTCACCGGGGAGCCTGGGCTGCCAGAAATCTCTTCCTCCACTAGTGGGGCATCCCCTTGTTGCCCCTGACCCCTGTTCCTCACATGATCTTGTCTGTGGCCCTGCTGCTCCCTCCTGCTCTGCACCTTCCCTGCTCACTGCTCACCCATCGCTTCCTACCTGCTCTCCCCCCTCTTCAGAAACAGAGCAGGAGTCCCTCCCTTTTGCATCATACACGATATAAATACAAAATTATATATTAGATAAATAGCCTTCCCACTAACCCCAGGCAGTCCAATGCCAGGCACATCCTGACAATGTTTCCTACTTGGGGCTTTGCCAGAACTAAATGTTCGCTTCCCTTTCCCCACTAGGGTCTTCAAGGGGAAGCACGAGACGTGAACTGTTGGGAGGAGGGCGCAGCCCTCTGGTAGGGAAACCTGGGCACCTGAGTCCTTGTTCTAAGGGCTCAGGACTAGGGTCCGCCTGGCTGGAGAGAGGGAGGACAAGGAGAAGGGAGTCCTAAGCCTCTGCTTCCCACCCAGGGGGCCTCACCATTTTCCCCACCTCTCTCCAGCTGAGTCTTTGATTCCCGGGGCTCCTGGCCAAAGCTGTGTCAACAGTGGGGATCCCTGCCCAGCTATGGGCAGATCTTGTGTCCCTTCCCTCTCGACCCAAAGCCTGGGTTGTCAGGGCCTAAAGCGAGAGCCCCGTGCAGGGGGCAGCCTGAGCCTGGAGCCTCTCCCTCCCTGGCTGGGCTTCGTTGTGTTTGGCTGGTGGCAGGCCTGCAAAATCTGGAAGTAAACAAAGAAGCTGCCACGGCAGACAGAGTTCTGGTGTGTGTGAGCGGAGAGTGAGCCTGGAAGGGAGGTGCCAGGGAGGCCAAGCCGTGGGCTGTGGGCACAGGGTGAGCAGTGTAGAAACTGGGTGGCTGGAGCCCCAAGGGCAGAGAGGCAGGGGCGGAGGGGTCACAGGTGGGGCTGGCTCCTACACACCCTTGTTTTCTGGGCCTTATGTCCCTAGTTTCTTGGAAAGCCTGACAAAACTGGAGCTGCTCTCTGCCTTTGCCCCGTCGGAGAGTTCCATGTCGCCTCAGCCTCAGTGTGCTTCCTGCTAAAAGCTTCCATGTTGAATTGACTGCTGTGGCTCTGGCTCGATACCCAGGGAGCATCCTCTCCCACTTCAACCTGTGCTGGGTCTCTCTTTCACAAAAGAGGCACTCAGACTGTATACCGCCCCCACTCTCCTCCCCCCACCCCCACACCATGGAGATCCAGTCGGACAATTGTGGGGTGAGTAGGAAGAGCCCTTCCATCCTGACCATGGGATCTACTCAACTGCCTCCTTGGAGAACCATCTCCACCAGCACCCTCCTCCAGGCTCACTCACAACGAGCCGCACACTTGTACAGTTCACTCTTGTACCAAAAGGGTGCAAGGCTTAGACCATTCCTTAAGTTCAGAACACTCTCCCAGCCGTGGTTTTGCAGCGCTGAAGGGCTCAAAAGCCAGCCCAGTTTCAAATTTCAGATCTGTCACTTAGAGTACTTGGGCAAGTAAGTTAATTCCACGAATCTTGGTTTCCTCATTTGTAAAAAAAAAAAAAAAGTAGGGGAAGAGGGATAAACAGTATACCTGTTTCATAGGGCTACCTGTGAGGATGTGAAATACAATCAATACAGTAGCTGGCACAGAGGTGGCACCCAATAATGTTAGCTGTTGTCATTAATGTGCCTCAGACAGTCCCATGAAGCAGGCAGGGCAAGGAATATCACCCTCTGTTTTTACAGAAAAGGAAATCGATACCCAGAGAGGAAACTGCAGGTCCCCTATACGGCTCAGTGTTCTTTGTACCCTCTTTGCTCCTTTCCTGGGCCCCAGACTCCACCGACTCCAATCCTGGCAAGCGGTTGAATTACTCTCCTGGGGCTTGGCTCCCTCATCTTAAAAGTATCCCCTCAGGGACACACAGTGTTGTTGGCTCCTGGGGAGAAGTAGCTAAGCAGATCGTTTAGGGCAGAGAAAGTGGGAGGCCCTTGGCGGAGGGGAGAGGTGGGCAGTGCTGAGATGCCCCTCTCTTGGCCTCTCCCACCACCCTGTGTTCCAGGGCCATGAGTAGGAGAACCAGCTTTTCTGGGGCTTGGAACACACAACCTTGGGAAGCCGCGCAGACTGCGCTCTGACTCCACACCCGGTTCTCATGTCCAGTCTGAGCATAGATGTGAGGAAACAGAGTGGAGAAGGATGAGGCACGTATGCCTGAAGATCAGACAGATGCAGGTCCAGTTTTGATTCCATCACTTTCCAGCTGAGTGACTTTGGGCAGGTTACTTAACCTCGTTGAGCCTCAGTTTCCCTATCTGTAGAAGAGGGATAGTAATATTAAAGTTACTAGGCTTGAGAGTTTGGAGAGGAGATATTCATTCATTCCATCAATCTTTGATTGACTGATTGATTCATTCATTTATTAATCAATAAATATTTATTGAGAGTCTACTCTGGTCTAGACTTTGTGCTGAATGTTGGAGTAATAACACCAACCACAATTGTTAGTGCTTATTGAGGGCTTATCATGTCCCAGGTACTATGCTTAGCAATTTACATGAATTCTTGTATCTTGCAAAGATCATGTCCTCAATTTTCATGCATGACTGAAAGAGAAAAATAAAGATTCCAAAGGATGCTAGGACGATAAGTCTGTGATAGGCTGAATCAAAGGAGATTAAATAAAACACAGGTAAAAGTCAAATTACACATCTGGATGCAGGAAACCAACAGTACAACTACAGGATGTGAACAAGAATGTGATTTCACGACTTCAGGTGGGAAAGAGTGCTGTAGGGGGCTGTGAATCAATTGAATATCATGTGGGTGCTGAAATGTGAGCACAAGTGTGGGCTTCGTTAACAGACATGCAGTGTATAAGCCCAAGGACAGTGTGTTTCTGCTGTGAGTGGGACTTGGGGAGTGTTGGGATGGTGAGAGTAGGGGAAAGCAAAGTCAAGGGTGAATCCTGTGGTTTTTTGCTTGGGCAACTGGGTAAACAGTACGCTATTCAACAACAACAAAAAAGAGAACACGGAAGGAGAAATAGATTTCGAGAGGAAGATGATGAGGTCAGCTTTGGATATCAAGTTCAAAAAACTCTTTGGAGATTAGCTTCAAACAGGAAACACAGCAATTCTTCCATGAAATGATACAAAGAAGAAAGGAGACATGCAGATGATAAAAGCAAGTACTTGGTTTAGTGCTAGGAAGTTGTATTTCCTTCTGATGGCTTATAATTTCTGTTTTCTCTGTGAAATAGAAGGTGAGGCCATCTTTTCAGAGACTGTAGGAAGGGGTCAAAGTCAAGGTATGAAGAATGTGGAAAAAGTTCCTGTTATAGGTTGAATTGTGTCCCTTATGCAGGTACTTTAAAGTCCTAACCCCCATACTAGTAAATACGACCTTATTTGGAAAAAGGGGATTTGCAGATGTAATCAAGTTAAGATAAAGCATTAGGATGGGCCTAATCCAATGTGGCTGGAGTCCTTATCAGAGGAGAAGAGACACAGAGACAGGCACAGAGGAAGAAGGCCGTGTGATGACAGAGGCAGACATTGCAGTGATACAGCTGCAAAGCAAGAAACATACAGATTGCTGGTAACTGGCAGAGGGGAGGAAGAGGCAAGAAAAGATCCTCCCCTGGAGCCTTCGGACACAGCATGTTCTGCCAAACCCCTGATTTTGGACTTCTGGCCTCCAGAACTGAGAAACAATACATTCCCATGGTTTGAAGCCACCTGGTTTGTGTGTGTGTGTGTGTGTGTGTGTGTGTGTGTGTGTGTGTTTTGTTATGGCAGCCCTAGGAATCTCATGCAGTTATAAATAGCATATTGGAGAAGAGGGCAGAGTTGAGCATCACAGAGGATGGTAACCCCGTTTGTGGGGTATCAATAGACCCCTTGCATGCTTTTCTCTAATAGTTCTCAATAATCTGGATGAAGGCATATACTAAACAGACAGTTACAGTCCGACAGAAAGACTGTAGGAAAGACAGTCTTTCCAGGTGGGCAGGATAAAAAGACATTTGAGCAAAGGAGTTAATATTGGCAAGAGAACAATTAAAATAATAGACCACATGGTCTCAGCTAGATAGGAGAAGTGGTAAAGAGAAGAGGGGGCTGATAGACTACAACAAGAAGAGTTTAAAAGCCTGGGGGTCTCAGCAAGGTTGAATGACAGGATAAAAGCTGAAATAACAGGATGGTGGGAACACAGAATAGCATACATTTAAAATTTCAGAATTAAACAATTCTGGTAATGAGGGCCAGAAATAGGCCATGAGAGTGG